AGAGCCTGACGCGGGGCTCGAACTCACGGACCGCGAGATCGTGACCTGGCTGAAGCCGGACGCTTAACCGACTGCGCCACCCAGGCGCCCCTAACATTTTTTAATAATACTGTTATTTCTTCCTTTGAATTTCCATCATATGCATCAATATTCCTTACATGACAGGTTTCTAGCTTATATTATTAATTGTTTTCAATATATGAGCTTTGTCTCTGTAACCTACCTAAAAGGTGTGGGTGGAGGCTATGCATTGCATCCTTGGTACTTAACATGACCTACAGAGCCATCTTCAATAACAGAAGCCAATGTATATTAAGTGCTTGCTGTAGACCAGGCATTTTGCATTCCTGACATCATTCAGCATTCATGGCAAGCTTTTGAGGCTGGTGTCATTATTATCTCCATTTTACAGATGGGGAAACTGAGACCCATGTAGACTTAAGTAGTGTGCCCAAGGTCATCCATCTTATAGTGGCAGAGGCAAAGTTTGGACCTGTTTGATCTGTCCTCAGAGCTTGTGTCCTCAACCTCTTTGCTATTCAGCCTCCCTTGTGCTGCCTTCTTCGATCAAGGTTTCTTGATGATGAATATTGCCTTTCAGTCCTACTTAGTTGCCTTGTATGGAGTGGAAAAATCTGCAGGTGCTAAGGGTGCCTGAGTCTGCCACATGGTGATAACATAAATAGTAGAACAAAGGGTGTAGGGTGTACCATCCCTTCATTGTTGCCAAGCCTTCTTTGCTGTTCAGAGAGACGTCTGGAGAAGCCAAAGCCCATTTGGTGCAAATGCAATTTACTGTATCCCAGGAAGAGCTAATTATGACAATACCATTGGCATTAAACTCTCCATTATGTCAAGGAAGACAGACGAGGGATCACCTGGGCAAGTGTGGTGGAGGTAACAAGAGTAGAGAAGGGCAGGGAGAGGAGGAGTATTGGGGGCCATGTTTATGATTTAGCATTTTACTGAAAGTGAGACCCCACTTCTCCCCTAAATACACACACACACACACACACCCCACACACACCCCACACATGCTTGCATCCACGCTTGTCTCTCTGCATGCCCTTTGCAAATTGCTTAGCATTTCCAAGTTTCATCACATTTGTGCAATGAGAGTAATGGAAGTACCTTCTTCACTGGCTGGCTGTGGGGTTAAAATGAGCACTCTAGCACAGTGCCTGGTGGGTGGCTTGGACTCAGTAAATGCTTCACATTAAGAATCAAACTTCAAAATTATTTATGGCAGAAGGCTTTAGCTGTTTGATATCCAAAAAAACAAACAAAATGACAAAAAACAAAAAACAAAAAACCCAAACTAGAAAAGCTGTTGGATTAGAGCTATCAATATTTTGGTGGCTTATTTTGCCTCTTTTATGCCCTGTCACTGTGCTCCAGGCTCTTGGGGCTGAACTGAGCCCCCATCAGTCTGAAGCATTCTAGCCTTCATTTCCATCATTTTGACCTTTCTTGGTCCTAGTTTAATGATGAATTGGAAAGATTCTCAAGACATGAGATACTTGGAACATTCTTGCTTCCTAAGAAGAATAGTGCAGATAATAGAGCAGATAGTTTTAATGCAAATCTCCTTCATCTTCTCCTCCAAATTGAAAAATGATTTTTCATGAATTGTTCTGATTTACCATACCTCTGTAACCTATCTAGATGGTGTGGGTAGAGGCTATACATTGCAACAACAAATCAAAACTAAATGAAAAACTAGCAATAAATCAAAAACTAAATATCATAAAACAGATTTGATCTGAATATACACTTTAGCATTACCCATGTTATGTGCCTAATCAGTGAAATAGGTCTTGCATATGCAAACATAATCATTACTAATAAAATACAAATCAAGATATCACAGAGTAGGATTTTTCAGTTAAACTGTAAAATTGTTTTGCCAGTAACATTTCTTCTTTCTATCTCTTTGGTCTGCTTTTGATTTTCTGAGATTTGTATGGATAGGCCTTTAAGGAGACCACGAATCTCCGAGGAGCCGCCATTTTGCATTGAACATAGCCATTTCCTGGCTTTGGATCCTGTGGGAAGTCTATATGATTCCAGGGTCAAATATGAGAATCACTGAGTTTTTTAGGTCAAGACATTATCTATGTAGAAATTAGTACATACACATGTTTAACAAAATATTTCCAGATGATATCTGTAAAAGTGAGAGATTCGAAATAGGTGATTTTTAAAGTCTTAGTGATTTCCAATGTGTTAAGGGAAACTTTAACAGTGGAAAGATGTTTAGGCAATTGGTGTGCACTCAGCACTGTGAAGTATTTTTATGCACTATCTCGTTTAATTCTCTTAACACCTCTTGGACTCAGGCATTTTGTTTTACATATAAAGTGACCAAGGTACTGAGAGGTAAGTGATTTACCAAAAGCTATTCATCTAGCTAGCAGCATCAGTTCTAGCCTGCATTTCTTGTCTCCAAAGGCAATGCAAGGAAATGCTATCATAAATATTTGTTATATTTCTATCAATCTTTGTAAAGTAGAAGAGTCAATTTTCCCATCAAAGAGACTTTTATTCAGTGTTGGATCAGCACTTATCCAATTACAGCAAGGCAGTGTGACCTCTCTTACTGCTGTTCTATACATTTAAACACACTTGCACAAGTTCTCATTATTAGAGTCACTTCCATGTTACCACATGCATTATTTCTCTTACCCAAAGATGGTATTATTGTTCCAGAAAGGCCTTCGACTCCTTCATAAGACTCAGCTCTGCATCAGCCAGGAAATTGGTTCCTTCCTTCTTTTCTTTTGGTGGCATCTGTTCCATTGTAGTCCTGAGACTCTGGTGCACAACTGGGAGGATCATAATCCCTTGGGAGGGGAGTTGACGTTTCTCTGGACAACCTGTGGTTAAAGGGACAGCAGCTTATAAGAGACACCTAGGAGGGGAGAGAGGAAATGCAGGAACAACTTCCCTTTATGATTCAGTGCTAAGCCCCAGCACATTAGTGGATTATTCTTGTCCATGGAGTTGATAATATCAAGATCCATTGTGCTTAGATGACCTATAATCAGAGCCTCATGGCATGATTTCCAAACAGTCTAGAACATTGGCATGCTTGACTATTGTGATATAGCTGGATGTAGCTTGGCAAACCTGGAAAAGGACAGCTAAAGGAATCATATTGGAAGTCTCACCTCACTACTAGGTGACTGTCCTGACATTATCTCACTTGGAAATAATTTTGAGAGAATGTTACTGACTGGTTTGAATATAAACTTTGCCTGCTTGTACCTT